GATAAGGAGATCTATTTTGACTCCTCAAAGTTCAAAGGGGATCGGTTTTCCAGACCCTGTGAAATATCATGAGGCAATTCATCTAGGCAGAGGAATAGATTGGTGCTCTAAAACGTGAGAAAAAAAACCCAAAAAAAAAAAAACAATAGACTTGGAACAGGCGGCAGTGGGCATTTCTTTGGTGGGACTCCCCTGGGTGCTAGGCAAAGACACTCCATTAAAGGCTATCCAACATCCTCTGATTAGAGTTACATTGAAGATCGTTCAAAAGGTGTTTACAAATGCAAATCTCTCTCCATTTCAGAGTCCTTTGATACAGATATTGGGCAACCCTAGTTTTAGTCCTGCGCTGAATGATCCCCAGTTTGAAATATTAGCCAGGATATTTTTCATTTGTACCATTTCATTCATGATAATCGTCCCTTAAAGACCCATGAAATTATGAGTAATTTTTCTTATGCCTTGGATTTTCTTAGTTGTGCACAGTTAAGGGCATATCTCTGTTCACTTCCAGAGATATACTTTAATCAGAAGGAACCTTTCCTTATTCGAACAGTATTGCCTAATAGGGGAATCAAGGAGACACTTGTCCCATCTGTATTCGATGTTGATAAGGACCACTGCCTCACAGAATCTTCCCTTCTTCAACATTGGGAAAAGGACTTAACATTTTATCTTTTTGAGTTTGTGTAAAAGTAATTCTTATCACTTGCTTACAAATCATCAATTGCGAATAAATATCAAGAAGGAAGTTATAAACTCCATACGAGGTGGTACTCAACTTTATCAGTGATGCATCGTGTATTTCCCCAGACTTCCAATTTATGTTGGTGATGCGGAGAGTCCGAAGGTAGCCTACTCCATATTTTTTGGGCATGCCCAAAACTAAATGAATTTGGGAAGATGGAACACAATTAAAAAAATAACTGGAGTGTCTTGAGAAAAACCAGAAGGTGTACCTACTTCATGATACACTTATCTTACAGGAAATATAAGGACTCTTTGTTAAAACATCTTATCACGGCAGCAAAAGCATGTATTTCAGCTTTATGGAAAAGCCAGGATACACCAACCAAGTCTCATTGGTTGGCGAAAATAACGGAAATCCAAATAATGGAAGATTTAACTATGGCTAAAGAGAACAGAGTGAGCTGTACTGGAATATATGGTCCCCTTACTTTATATACAAGGAGCAAACAGCTTTGGAAAATCAGTGAGACACTCAATGAGATAAAGATTCACTGAAGAGGTGTGAACTCACCACAAGTGTGTATGTAGAGATGAGAGGAGAGTTGGGGAGGCTTTTTTGTTTTGTTTGTTATGGGTAAAGAGGGAAAATAATAAATCAGCCTGTTAAAATATAGATGATTCTTGGGATGAAACAGGAAGTTTTCTATTTATTCATACATATGTAACTAGGCAAGAGGCCCACATGTGGTACAAGTCTATGGATATGGTATTGTAGTGGATCTGTTACAATCTGTATTTGTGGGTTTTATTGGGTTTAAAAAAAAAAAAAAAAAAAAAAAAAAAAAAAAAAAAGGAGGTTTGTTCATTAACCACTTCCTGACTACCCTATAGCAGAACTACTACTACAGGGCGGCAGGGCTGCGCAAAATCACGTACATATATGCGATACTGCATTTCCGAGTAAGGGGTGCGCTCGCTGCCATTGGCGGCTACAGATGTCTGTCACCAGGTCTCGGCCGGAGATTCCCTGCCGACACAGGGCGATCGCCGAGTATCACTGACAGGGGAGAGATACCACAGGTCTCTCTCCTGCCAGCAATAATATGCTGCTGTGCATTTCTCTGCACAGTAGAGAAATACACAGCAGTATGTTTCCCTAGCAAAACAGCACACAGTTAACCCTTTCGTCTTACCCCTTCCTGCCCAGTGTCATTAGTAGTGTCAGTGCTTTTTATTAGCACTGATCACTGTATTAGTGTCATTGGGATGTCAGTGTCAGTCTCCACCCCCCCAAGTGTCAGAATGCCCGCTGCAGTCCTGCTATAAGTTGCTGATCACCATTTTATAAATAAAAAAAAAATCCAATATATATACCGCCATTTGTGGATGCTATAAAACTTTCAAATAAAACAATTAATTGACATGTTTTGGGATTTTTTGTTTTTCCAGCAAACACACGTAGCAGAATACATTTTGGCCTAAATGACGAAACTTGATATGTTTCAGAACAAAAAGTCAAAAATATATATTTTTTCAAAATTGCTGGTCTTTGCTGTTTTTAATGCAAAAAAAAAAAAGAAAAAAAACAAAAACCGCACGTGATCACATACCACTGAAAGAAAGCTCTATTTGTGGGGGGGGGGGGGGGGGGGGGGAAAGGACATAAATTTTGTTTATGTACAGCATTGCATGACTGCATAATTATGCGCCCTATCGCAAACAATGGGCTGGTCAGGAAGCTGGGTAAATCCCCTGGAGGCCAAGAAGTTAATTTTGCAGATATATAAAGAATTTAAAAAAAAAAAAAAAAAAGGAGGTTGGTTGTTTCCAGTCAGCTGTGTCTAAAATTTGGAGTAAGTACAAATTACAAGGGAAAGTTGTAAGGGGAAGCATACTGGTAGACCAAAGAAGATATCAAAGTGTCAAGATAGAAAACTTAAAGCATTAATGCAATATGCCTTGAAAACAGAAAATGCACAACAAAACAAATGAGGAAGAAATGGGCAGAAACTGGAGTCAATGTCTGTGCCAAACTGTAAGACATTGCCTAAAGGAAATGGGATTTACATACAGAAAAGCCAAATGAAAACCATCATTAACACCTAAACAGAAAAAAAAAACAAGGTTACAGTAGGCTAAAGAAAAGCAATCATGGATTGTGGATGACTGGATGAACGTGATAGTCAGCGATGAATCATGAATCTGCAATAGGCAGGGTGATGATGCTGGAAGTTTTGTTTGGGGTCGTTCCAATGATATGTATAAAGACGACTGCCTGAAGAAAACATGCAAATTTACACAATAACTGATATGGGGTTGCATGTCAGGTAAAAGCACGGGGGAGATGACAGTCATTAAATCTTCAATAAAATTTATATTGAGATTCTGGAAACGTTTCTTATTCCATCAACTGAAAGAATGTTTGGTGATGCCATAGGGCAAAAGCCGTGAAAACTTTCCTTCAAGAAAGATATATAAAATGGCATGGCCTGCAAATAGTCCAGACCTCAGTCCAATTGAAAATCTATGGCGGAAATGAAATAAAATGATTCATGACAAGGCTCAACCTGCAAAACTGATCTGGCAAATGCAATAAAAGAAAGTTGGAGCCGGATTGAGGAAGAATACGATTTGTCGATAGTTAAATCCATGTCTTAGAGAATTCTAGCTGTTATAAAAAAAAGTCAGAGGTGGTGCAACAAAGCACTAGTTATGCACTGTAGTGTATTTTTTCATGATTCCATAACATTTTCCTCAGAACTGAGTGATTCCATATTTTTTTCCTCTGCTTGATCTGCAAAAACAATTGCAACTGACTAACTACAGCTTTTTTTTTTTTTTTTTTTTTTTTTTTTTTTAAGTGTTTCCTAATGCCAGAAGGTTGGAATGTTAAATGAAAATAGTTTTTAGGCATGTCTGAGATTAGTTTTTTTTCTACACAATTAAATGAACATTTTCCAAGAGTGGGGATTCCATACCTTTTGCCAGGGGTTGTATTTAGTCAAGGAACCAGTCATTTTAAAATGAGTTTTAATTAGATACATTGGGCAGTTATAGATTAAACCAGAAACTGTGTATACATTTTCTTGCCTTTAGCAAACTGAACAGCACAATTAAAGTTTTTTTTTTATAGTGTCTCCAAGATCCTAGTATACAAAGGAAATAAATATTTGACAGACTGCTCCTCCTCTGTAGAATGTTTTAACCATACGTTTATGAACCTGGTGAATGCTCTACTGCTATCAAAATACAGAAGAGGTGGTAAACGCTATTACAAAATCTGAGGGTAAATGTTAACTGGCTACATAATTGCTCTCAAGCAAAAACACAAAAAAGGTCACATGCAGTGATTTAAAGCATTACTAATAGAGAAGATAGATTAGATAGATTTGCATGAAACAACCCTGAACCTCTCTTCTCAGGTCCCCCACCAGTGTTGTCCACTCTTCCTCTTCAGTGCTTGCTGTGAGGGCAGACATGAGGGCTCACTCCCAAGCCGGGCTGTATGTGTCTATAGACACACACAGTGTGACTCAGCCCCACCTCCTCTGTCTCCATGTCTAGAGAAAATCTACCAGAATGCTACATATTTGAATATAGACTACAGGACAATGAGCACTGACATTACTGGGAAACAAAACATCAACAGTATGAAGAGTCTATGAATCAATAATTTGACTATGTCAACATATTTACAGGACAGGTTGAGAACTAATGCTCAACAAGTGATAGCACCTTTATAGACAGTGCTATAATCACATAACTCTGCATACAAGGGTTAGTGATTTTCCACCATGACCATGCAAGGTAAGCTAAACTTTGAAGGTGATGAAACATGCTTAATTACTTTCTCAGGATCCGCTTTACTGTGGTAGAGTTATTATATTATTTAAATGGATAGAGAAGAAGGGAAAAGCTAAGATTTTCTAATAAATTATAAAGTCCCTTTAACCTCTTCTCACTGTCCAAACGCAGATATTCTGCCTCTCAGCAGGTGGGCCTTAATGCTGAAAATATGCGTACCAAGATATAAATATTGCTGTGTCGAGGGTGTGCACCCTGCTCGCTCCCAGGACAGTTACCGGCGGGTAACGGAACTTGTGATCATGAGCTTTCCAATCATGAGACCGTGGTGACAGACAATCACAGTGGTCACATGACCAAAGAGTCTGCCTCCCAGCGTCTAGAACGCCTTAAAGGGCTGGGAGACACTGACAGGAAAGGGATAAAAAAGTAGTAATGTAATGTTGGCACAGTGAACAAATGTTAATTTTTACCTTTTTAGGACTCTGTAACAGTAACTTACCAACACAGTTATCACACAGGCTGCAGTGTGAGGCACGAGGTGGGCGGAAGATTTTGCAAGTAAAACAATATTTCAGTTTCACCGTTTGTCCATTGATTACTACTTCTTTCGTTCGGGGGGAGGAGGTCGATAACCGCCTGAAGTGGACCCATTTGCAACATCTATGTAAATAACGTAATTACTGTTTGTACACTGCATTAAACAACATATTAAATTGTATCACAGAGATCCAATCAATCATAAATCTAAAAAGGTGTATGCTGGTGGCAGCCAGGTGTTACGTTTTTTGGTATATATATATATATGGATGTTGCATTAAAATACAAGGTAGACTTGTTCATTAGTGCCCCACCAATTTTAAAATTTTCTTCTAAGGCGGGCTTCACACTGCTGTGCAGCAATTTGGCTGTGGCATGGGTGTATCTGCAGTTTTCACACGGCTTACTCGCAGAAGCATACACTTTCTATTCGATCACATGTTTTTGGCACATTTTCTGAAAGCACACCAAAGATGCAGCAAGTGGGACATTTGGTGCGCTTTGAGAAAACACACTGCAAATGTGCAACATAATAGAAAGTATATGGGACCACGGCAAAAAACGGCAATACACCCACACTGCTTGCAGTGTGGAGCCAGGCCAAGATTCTTTTTTTTTTTTACTTAAGATTCAGGGTGGGGCTCTAGTGAATAAGCAGACCTGGCATTTGCATGTTTCCGGTCTGTGAAACCACTGAAGCTACTGATTCACCAACACAAGCAATAACAGCATACACTCACCGGCCACTTTATTAGGTACACCAGTTCAATTGCTTGGCAACACAAATTGATAATCAGCAAATCACATGGCTAGATGTGGTGAAGGCAACTTTCTGAAGTTCAAACTGAGCATCAGAATAGGGAAGAAAGGGGATTTAAAGCAGAACTTAACTCTGTGACTCAACATGGACTATTTCTAATCCATATGCTGCTAGCATTCGTAAATATAGAAGTATATCATATTTACTTATTTTAACCTTTTTTGCATTCCTTCATTTACTTCCTGGTTTCAATGCCTGGGCAAATAAGGGCATACATCTTCAGGAGGGGAAGGAGGGTTCTCAGCTCAGCCAATGCCTGAGCTAAGGACAGATGGATTCCAGGAAGTAACTGCTACATGAATCATCTGCCCTTATTTAAGATGACCACTGCCAGATATGCCAGGAGGTGTTTTTCAAAATGATTTCTCAGCAAAATAAAGCATGGAGACATGGATGGAGGAGTTTGTTTTGAATATTAAAAATTGTATAGCATTTTTAGTTTGTGGTACCCAGGTGCAGTGCAGTTCCACTTTAAGTGACTCTGAATGAGCCATGGTTGTTGGCGCCAGACGGGCTGGTCTGAGTATTTCAAATACTGCTGATCTACTGAGAATTTTATGCACAACCATCTCTAGGGTTTACAAAGCATGGTCCGAAAAAGAAAAATTTCCACTGAGTAGCAGTTGTGTGGACGAAAATGCCTTGTTGAGGTTAGAGGAGAAAGGGCAGACTAGTTGCTGCGATGTTCAGATGGTAGGGTCAGAACATGGCATAAACAACATGAAAGCATGGATCCATCCTGTCTTGTATCAACGGTTCAAAGCTGGTGGTAAAATGGTGTGAGGGATATTTTCTTGGCACTAGAAAAGTGTACCTAGTAAACTGTCCGGTGAGTGCATGTGTATCAATTTAGGAATTTTACATACAAAAAAAAAAAAAAAAAAAAAAAAAAAAAAAAAAGGAAAAAGGAAAAAACAAAAACTTTGTAATGTCTTCTTTAGGACATAATTTACCTATTTGTCTTTCCAAATCTGCAGCTTCATCTGGAGTGGCACGAGGAAGAACGCCTGGGTCACTAAAGCTGGTTCTCAGTAAAGTCCCCATTACAAAAAATACAAGAATTCCACCTATCACAGGAATCGCAGGCGTAATATTCACAGCCAAATAAGGACAACTGAAAAAGAATAAGAAGGTATATGTAAATAGAATATTTGATACTTTAGTGGAAATGAACGATTACATTGATGAGACCCTGTCACCAATGTGCACACTGTAGCCCTGTTGAACACATGTGACAGAATTAGGCGAGCCGCTAAGAGTCCAAGTCAGCTGCTCCCTCCCCTCCACAGCTCGGCGCGCCAGTGAGCACTGGAGGGGCAGAGTAAAGAATGGATGACCGACAGTTACTGCTCTCTGCTTGGAGCGGAGGGGAGAACTGAGTGATCAGCAGTCTGACCGCTTATTTCTCAATCTTGGAGATGGCAGAGACAGATGCAGCATCAGATTGATGATGCATACATCTAGACCAGTGGTGGGCAACCTTTTTTTTCAACTGAGCCAAATCTCGCCAAAACCACGATTGAAATTTATTTTGAGAGCCACATTTTTAAAACTGAAAATACATCCCCCATATAGTAATTCATCCCCCATAGTAATTCATCCCCCATATCGTAATTCATCCCCCACATAGTAATTCATCCCCCACATAGTAATTCATCCCCCATATAGTAATTCATCCCCCATAATAATACATCCCCCATAATAATACATCCCCCATATAGTAATTCATCCCCCATAGTAATACATCCCCCATATAGTAATTCATCCCCCATATAGTAATTCATCCCCCATATAGTAATACATCCCCCCATATAGTAATACATCCCCCATATAGTAATACATCCCCCATATAGTAATACATCCCCCATATAGTAATACATCCCCCATATAGTAATTCATCCCCCATATAGTAATTCATCCCCCATATAGTAATTCATCCCCCATATAGTAATTCATCCCCCATATAGTAATTCATCCCCCATATAGTAATTCATCCCCCATATAGTAATTCATCCCCCATATAGTAATTCATCCCCCATATAGTAATTCATCCCCCATAGTAATTCATCCCCCACATAGTAATTCATCCCCCACATAGTAATTCATCCCCCATAGTAAAACATCCCCCATAGTAATTCATCCCCCATAGTAAAACATCCCCCATAGTAATACATCCCCCATATAGTAATACATCCCCCATATTGTGTCAATTCACTTACCTTTGCTCCGCGCGTTCCTCTCGCTGTGTTCCCGCGCCGTTCTGGTCTTCAGGGCGGACTGTGAGAGGAGAGGAGTTCGTCACGCTGCCCCCGCCTACATCCTGGCTGCCCCGCCTAAATCCTGACAGCTGCAGAGTCCTGACTTTTGGGGCGGCCGCCCGAGAGGAGGGAGGGGAGGGGAGCGGGCGCCCGGCACACAGAAGAGCCGCATTTAAGTTTGTAAAGAGCCGCATGTGGCTCGCGAGCCGCGGCTTGCCGACCACTGATCTAGACAAATATACATTTTTTTTTTTTTTTTTTCCGAAACACATACTTTGCTTTAAAAAAACATCTGAACACAGTCTTAACATCTAACAACTGATCAGCTACAATAACGTTTGCTTTTGGGTTTAATACCATTTAAAGGTGCATATTATGCTTTGTCTTCTGTCTTTTCTTATAATTTGCAATTTATTAACAGCAAGACTTTTTATCAAGATTATTTTACGAGCATGTGAAATACAACCTATTACAAAAAACAAAAAATACCACAAAATGAGTTAGATGTCTGCAGCCTAAAAGAAAAAAAATAAATAATGTATATAAGAAATTTAGGTCAACAAGCCTGTACAATGTCTTATGAAGAATTCAAAGAGTACAAAGCTTTGCTGGATTTGCACCTTCACAAGGGAAGATCTCATACAACAATGGTCTTTACACATATATAAAACAGATACAAGGTAAACATCAGATGTCAAATACATTCTGTATGCATATCAGGGGAAAAAAAAAAAAAAAAAACAAAAAAAACGCATAACTAGATCGAATACTAAATAAATCTGTGAAAAGAAATGGAAGCTGCTATTCTTGATCTTCTGTTATACTGACCCTCTGGCTTCAGTATTTTCAGAATCAAAACTGCTGTATCAAGTATGTACAGTAGGAATCCTGAATTTCTTTGTCCCGAACACTGAAGACTTTGGCTAAAATTATGTTGTACTGGAATATATATATACCGTATATATATATATACACATATATATATATATATATATATTTATATATATATATATATATATATATATATATACACACACACATATATATACATATATATACATACACACACATGCACATATATATATATACACATATATACACACACACACACACACACACACACAGACATATATACACACACGTGTGTGTGTATTATACACACAAACACTAATAATCCCCCCTTTCCCCACCCCCTGCAGATGGGGAGTTTACTTTTTTTAGCAAGAGAATTTAGCAGACACTACTACTTACTTCACTGTCCTACAGCAGCCAGTGGCACAGTCACATGCAATATATTCGTCTACTGGAGGAGTTGATAATTTAAAAAAAAAAATAATTAAAAAAACAAATGCTCAAACCTAGGCTCCAATAATTAAAGAAGGAACACATATGGGCAACAAGTGGTTAGCACATCCGACTAGCAGCACTAAGGTTGTCAATTCGAATCCCAACTACAGCACTACCTGCCTGGAGTTTGCTAATCCTGTGCCTGCGTCGGTTTCCTCCGGAGATTACGGTTTCCTCCTACAAAGGAGATGCTGGTAGGTTAATCGGCTCCTTTCTAAACTGGCCCTAATTTGTGCATGTATGAATAGATTGTAAGCTCCTTGAGGGCAGGGATGATGTACAGTATATGTACATTGACGGTGCTATAAGTACCTGAAATAGATAAAAATAAATATGGTACCCATCATTGAGCCTGAAAAAGTGGAAGAATAAGCAAAAAATTGTTAAAAATAAACTTCCACTACAATAATAGGAGGGGAAAAGGGTACCAAGAGGAGACCTATCTGAAGAAAATAGGGAACTACATAGAAATATGTTCAGGTACCTAAAGGGACCCACCAACCTTTTATGAAAAAAAAAAAAAAAGAAAAAAAAAAAAACAGAAAAAAAAAATTGGGGGTGCTGTAAGCTGTTAGAAACCACTGTAACAGGATTCAGTTGTGATCTTTAAAGTGGAAGCTCCATTTATTTGTCTCCTCCCCACCCTCCACTGCCATATTTGGTATCTTTTAGGGGGGGGGGGGCGGGTGCCTGGTTTTGACAGGTACCCACTCCCAGCTCAGTTCACCGCGGCGAAGTGACCCGGAAGTTTGCCCCCCTCCTTGCTCCCACAGTTTCCTGGGAACTTTCAGAGGTCCCAGGAGACTGCCGGACCAATCAGGAGGCACGGCGTGACTTGCGCATGCGCAGTGGGCAGCAGGCTGTGAAGCCGCAAGCTTTCACAGCCTGGTGCCCACAGTAGAGATGCCAGCACCGTGGAGGACAGAAGGAGTGAAGGGACTGTGTGTGGGTGAGTACATCGCTGGATCCCGGGACACGTAAGTGTGTGTTTATTAAAAGTCAGCAGCTACAGATTTTGTAGCTGCTGACTTTTAATAAACACAAAAAGAGCTGGAACTCTACTTTCAGGGTGCATTTAGCTACAGAATTGGGGGTTTGTGTTCAAGTTATACTGCCTGTAAAGAATATAAAATACATTAAATTCCATAGTGTGGGCACAGGTGTACTTTTAAAAATAAAATTACTATTTTTTTCCCCCATATGGGGGAAGTGAGGCTGACATGTCTCCCTTCCTTCTACATTCCTCTTGCTGGTTCTGAGCCTTGGAAGCCAGAGACAGGTGCTCACTATCAAAATAGCCGTTTTCTTGCTAGCTATGGTGTCACGCAGCCATGTGTTAAAGGGCTGGAGGCTCCCTGCTTGACATCAAAGCTAGTGTTACAGCGCACCTAGGAATTTACTTTGTCCCATGGTCAACCAAAAAAAGTGATTTGAAAAAAAAAAAAGTGAATTCTTCTTTAAGGCTCTATTTACAGCTTGAAGCTACAAAAACGCTCAACAGTAAAAGTTTTTATTATTTTACATGGTGCCTATTCAGCCTGAGAGCTTAGGTGCCTGTTGCTCAAAAAAAGTACAGAGGGCTTCTTTTCAGGCAGATCCAGGTGTTTTTGGCACCACAGACATCAATGGGAGCATCTGAAAAAAGTGTGAAAACTTATGTAAATGGAGGTTTTCTGGCACTCAAAGAAGCTCCTGTAGGGCACATCACTTCTAAAAACACACTTAAAATCTTTAAACATGAATGCATTTCACTCATCTGTAAATAGAGCCTAAAGGTAATAGGTCTTTAAAACGTTAGTCTCATGTCCCAGCATGTCATCTCATGCAAGCATACCTTAAAAAAAACATCCCTTGTTACTAACAGCCAGAGTCTCCAGTGACATTCGAAAACCAATTAGAATGGTTCCTGATCAAGTGACTGCTATGTCAGCCCTAATATAGTGATCACATGCAGGTTGGAAGCTTTCAGACAAACAATGCCACCTTCAGATTGCAGGGTCATCTAATATGCAACTATTAGCCCGCATTTTTATCAATTTTAATGTAGAATGTATAATAAAAATACATTACAGAACATTAATGTATTATATAGGGTATAGTAATGTATAATATAGGGTCTGGGATAAAAAATCCCATTTCAGTCTTTGCAGATGACACCAAGCTGTGCAGTGGAATAACGTCCTTACAGGATGTCTCCAACTTACAAGCCAACCTCAATGTACGGTTTAATTGGGCAACTATGTGGCAAATGAGGTTTAATGTTGATAAATGTAAGGTTATGCACTTGGGGGCTAAGAATATGCATGCATCATACATACTAGGGGGGGGTACAACTGGGGGAATCAATGGAGAAGGATCTGGGGGTTCTGGCATGCAATGGCAAGCTGCGGTTTCTAAAGCGAGCAAAATCCTCTCTTGTATTAAAAGAGGTATAGACTCCAGAGAGAGAGATATCATATTACCCTGTACAAATCATTAGTAACACCTCATCTGGAATATGCAGTTCAGTTTTGGGCACCAATTCACAAAAAGAACATTGGGGAACTGGAGAAAGTACAGAGAAGGGCAACCAAACTGATAAGAGACATGGAGGAGATCAGCTATGAGGAAAGATTAGAGGAACTGAATTTATTCTCTCGAGAAGAGAAGACTAAGGGGGATATGATCAACATGTATAAATACATCAGTGGTTCATATAGTGAACTCAGTGTAGAGCTATTCACCCTGAGGTCATCACAGAGGACAAGGGGGGGAACTCTCTACGTCTGGAGGAAAAGAAATGTAATCTCTAAACACAGAAAGGATTCTTCACAGTGAGAGCTGTGAAAAGGTGGAATAGACTCCCTCAAGAGTTGGTTCTGGCCAGCTCAGTGGATTGCTAAAAAAAAAAAAAAAAAAAAAAAAAAAAAAAAAAAAAAAAAAAAAAGGCCTGGATTCTCTCTCAGATACACAGAATATAACTGGATACTAACATTTATAGGTAAAGATGATCCAGAGAATATCCAATTGCCTCTCGGGAAAAGGAAGGAATTTATTTTCCCAGCTGGAGCAAATTGGATCATGCGTTGCTGTTTTTTTTTGTCTCCCTCCGGATCAACTGTGGGTATAGAATTATAACTTTTTTTTTTAATGGTTGAACTGGATGGATTTTTGTTTTTCAGCCAAACTATGTAACTATTAAATAAAAATCTTCCTGCTCGCAATGTTGCTAAAGGTGTAGAGCCCATTTATTTTACACCAGAAACTGCAGGTTTTTGCAAGTATAAGACATGAATTTCGACATGTGTGTTCTATGTGCATTTGCAGTGCATTTTTTCCTCAGCTTCAATTTCCTTTCAGGTCACTTCCATCATCTTTCTTTTGTGGGCTTTGATGTGCACTGCATTGCAGTGCATTTTTGGTCATTTACATGCAGTTGAGTATTTCTGTGCATTTGCAGTGCAGAAAAATGCAGTTTGTAGTGTGAACAATGTCCATATAATAACCTGTATTTTGGACTGTATACACTTGGAGTGCAGGGAAAAATGCATCCAACCGCATCTGGTGTGAATGGGCCCTTAGTTCCACTTTAAAGCAAGTTTTATTTTTCCTTTTGGGTTAAAGGTTGTACATAAATGAATAAAAGCTGATCACTGTAAACACCCTTGTCAGTAATAAATGGCTTGTCTAAATCGGGGGTCAGCAACCAGTAGATCGTTATCTACCAGTAGTTCTTGCCCAGGTGACTAGTAGATCGTAGCCTGGGCTTGCTGACCCGCCATCCCAGAGCATCAGAGTGCAATGCAGAGGGACTACTTGTACAGTTGGAGCTGTAGTAGGAGCAAGAGCCACATAAGTTGATGTCTCCTCTGTAGTGTCGGCTCCTACTCCCAGTAATAGTTGGTGGGTGTAGCACCCGCCAAAGATGACCCATTCAAGTAAATGAGGCTGCTCTGCAATTGCCCTGCAACCTTGTAAAGTACAGCAAACAAGGAGTTAAACAGGCAATGGTGTGTTGCTTTCTCACCACTTGCTTTAAGCCCTTGAACCCAGCAGAAGCATGCAGTTGCTGGTACTGGCAGAGTGGCCCCATTTACTTGAATGGGTCTCGGTTGACAGGCAGCAGCACCCACCCACCAAAAGCAACAGAGGGTGTGCGGCATGTGCACACCTTTGGCTGCTGCCTCAGCAGCTAAAGGGGGTAGTAAAGCCATGATTCAACCACAGGGTTTTAACAACCCCCCCCCCTCAACTTTGCATGTGAACAAGCCCTTATGGTGCCACTGCAGATTACAACTAAGGGCTCATTCACATATGCAGTAAGCACTGTTGCGCCTCTGAAAAGCGATCCAAGTGTGTTTGACAGGTGCGGAAGGTGGTGATAGGTTGCCTCATCACCTGATTTAAGCCCATGACTGCAGTACAATGCACGCGGTTGCGACACGGTAGTACAGCAGTTACAGATGAAAATTAGGCGTGAGGAGGCAACACTATGTCCGGTGATCTTTGACTTCTCCCATGTTGTTCAGGTAGGTCTGCACCTCTTTAAAAGTTGCCTACCCCTGGTCTAAATCTAACTGCCACTTTTGCGGCATGCCTTGGTCTGTTAAAGGGAGGTGGAAAATAACAGACTTACTGGCCAGATCTCCAGGTGAAAAAGGACACATCTAAGGACTGATCAGCTGCATTACATTGTTGAATTTACATAAGCATTCAAATACCGAGCTGATGCAAAGCTACAACCATAGTAGGAGATTATAGATTTTACCTAACAAAGCTATAAAACACACATTGCAGTATGTTGCTTCTTGAAAATAACCATGCATGCTGTCAGCTCACTAAAACTTATGTCAGCCAAACTGTATAATATGCATGAAATCCTTGTGAAATTATAGTGGCCTTCATATGATTACTCATTCATAAACATGAAGGGAATCAAAAGGTTTAATCCCTGTAAAGAGAGATTTGCTTGTTGTGGTGTAAAACACATTCAAAAATAAAATGTAACCGTTTCAGGCCTAAAAATTACTTAAAACTGCAAAACAATATATTTTCTAAAAGCAGAGAAGGTTTCACTAGTTGCGGACAGCGCATTGTACATAAACGTTGACAGTGCAGGCCCACTGCATTGGATCATGTACAATACGATAACGTGCGTGATTCAGCATTTCCGGGTAGGGGGAGTGTGCCGCCCCATCTGTGCGGTCATTCGCTACAGCACAACTCTTATCAGCGGGTCACAGCCAATGACTTAATGACTGGGACCTGCTGATCGGTAGAGAATAGGACAGAAGAGAGCATGGTGTTGGTCAACACAGGGCTGTCTAGACAGCGGCGATGTGCTTTTTTTTTTTCCCCTCACTGTAAAAACCGGCATATTGCTTAGTGAAAGCTCCACACAGTAAACACAAACATGGTTAGGCACAGTTAACCCTGATTGCCCCTAAGGCCCCATTCACACTAGGCTACTAGGCATTTAGAATCACGATTCCAAACCGCTCTGTTAAAATGACAATTCACGGAACCGCGTGTTCAGGTGGCATTAATTTTAATGGCACCTGAAAACACGGTGCTGTTCTGGCATGATAATCAATCGCGGCGCTAAAAAGAGTGCAGCCCTAGAGTGAACGGGGCCTGCAATGTTACCCCTTCCCAGCCAGTGTCATTAGTACAGGGACAGTATATATTAGCACTGATCATTGTATTAGGGTCACTGATGATACCAGTGATAACTAGTCAGGTGGCACGCTGCACTATCACAGTCCCACTATAAGTTGCTGTCTGCCACCATCGCTAGCATTAAAAAAAAAAAGTTTGTAGAAGCTATAACCAGTTAATATATGCTTATTGGGATATTTGGGGGTTTTGTTTAACGAAAGGCATGTAGCAAAATACATTTCAGACAAAATTTATGAAGAAATGTGATTTTTAAAATTTTTTTTTGAATTGAATAGGTTTTATAGCAGAAAGTAAAGTTTGTGTTTCAAAAATTTTCAGTCTTTTTTAGTTTATAGAATAAAAACCCAGTGGTGATCAAAAGAAGGCTATATTTGTGTGAAAAAAATGATATAAATTTAATTTAAGTACAGTGTTGCACGACTGCACAATTTCCAGTTAAAATAATGCAGTTCCAAATAGCAGAAAATGGGGGTATAATCTTCTGGAGCTTAAGTGGTGAAACTAAAAAGATGGTAGTTGCCAAATGTTATGCTGCATACCTCTGCACCTGTTTTTAAAAATACATTTCCACTTAAAATTTAAAACAAAATTGTAATTACAATTTTTGGTTAAAATTTTAAAAAAGACGAAACTGCATCAGGTGAGGATCACAAATACAGTATTTTTCGCTCCATAAGACGCACCTGACCATAAGACGCACCTAGGTTTTAGAGGCGAAAAACAAGAAAAAAAAAATTCTGAACCAATGGACTGCAGACACAGTACAGGGGATGACCAGAGACTGCGGACACAGTGCAGGGGAGATGACCAGAGACTGCGGACACAGTGCAGGAGATGACCAGAGACTGCGGACACAGTGCAGGAGATGACCAGAGACTGCGGACACAGTGCAGGAGATGACCAGAGACTGCGGACACAGTGCAGGAGATGACCAGAGACTGCGGACACAGTGCAGGAGATGACCAGAGACTGCGGACACAGTGCAGGGGAGATGACCAGAGACTGCAGACAGTGCAGGGAATGACCAGAGACTGCGGACACAGTGCAGGGAATGACCAGAGACTGCAGACAGTGCAGGGACATGACCAGGGATGACCAGAGACTGCAGACAGTGCAGGGAATGACCAGAGACTGCAGACAGTGCAGGGAATGACCAGAGACTGCAGACACAGTGCAGGGAATGACCAGAGACTGCAGACAGTGCAGGGAATGACCAGAGACTGCAGACAGTGCAGGGAATGACCAGAGACTGCAGACAGTGCAGGCAGGGGATGACCAGAATGACCAGAGACTGCACTGGGACAGTGCAGGGAATGACCAGAGACTGCAGACAGTGCAGGGAATGACCAGAGACTGCAGACAGTGCAGGGAATGACCAGAGACTGCAGACAGTGCAGGGAATGACCAGAGACTGCAGACAGTGCAGGGAATGACCAGAGACTGCAGACAGTGCAGGGAATGACCAGAGACTGCAGACAGTGCAGGGAATGACCAGAGACTGCAGACAGTGCAGGGAGTGCAGGGAATGACCAGAGACTGCAGACCTTTGGGGAGGGAGGGGGAGCGGGTACCTGAATTTGACAGGTACCCGCTCCCACTTCCACGGAGTTGTCCTTCCCTCTGACCAGAGACTGCAGACCTTCCCGGGCCAGCTTCTGTGACAGCCGGGTGCCCACTGCGCAGTGCAGGGATGACCAGATGCGCAAGAAGCACTGCGCTTTGTGAATGGCCCAGCGCCTTCTGGGACCTGTCATGTGTCCCAGAAGACACCGGATCATTCACAAAGCACAGCACACATGCGCAGTGGGGCACCCGGCTGTCACAGAAGCCAGCGCGGGAAGACTGTGCAGCGCTGGAGCGAGGAACAGATAAGGCCCTGCAGGAGAGAACAGCTGAGCAGGCCGGCCCGGTATTCTGACATGGTGGCGGCAGAAATACCGGACCGGCCGCTTTATATTTGCTCCATAAGACGCACTGACATTTTCCCCCCTTTTTTTGAAAAAAGTGCGTCTTATGGAGCGAAAAATACGGTATGTCAAGCTTTAATACACAACACTGTCATAAGTGATTCTTTAAAAACCTTTACAGCTCATCAGTTTAGAAAGAACCATAAATGGCCCTAGAATTATTACTCTAGATTCCAGTATGCACAGTGATACCCCAATATGTATTACCTGATCACAGTTTACATATGAATGTATGTCCTAGGTGTGTAAGTGGGTCATATCTTTGACCTGGTCTAACCTGGCCTCTACTCTAGCAAAACGAGCAACTATGCTGAATAGCAAAAAATGCCCTGGTCATGAAGGGGGTTACACCTTCCACAGCTCAAGTGGTTCAACTACAACCAAAGGCTCTTGTGGTACAGTCTAAGCAAGCACCAAAGTCAGTCATTATGTAATGCACAAGCCTCATAAAATAAAAAAAAACCAAAAAAATAAAAAGGTTCTTCCTTTACCCTTTCCTGACTAAGCAAAATCCCCCTTCATTTGTGTCTCACATGCTATCCCTTCCTAGACACTGCAGCTCACAGTAGAAGGGTTTCAGCAACAGAGGCAGTGCTGTCAATTCTGAAGGCAGCTGGCAGGACTAGGTGTGGTCAGCGTCTGATTGTCAAACTACAGGTTGGTGAATTAGCAGTGATAATGCTAATAGCCACGCCCTATGCAACATTTTATCATCCCACTGAAATGAAAGCAGAAACGAATCTACATGAGTGTCAATGCTACCCTGAATGGAGAAGTGGAGCATCATTGCTACACCATCACAGGACTCTGCAGTAGATGGACATCACTTGCAAGTTCAACAGGTATCTTTGGGACTGTGCAGGGGGGGCAAGAAAAGTAAGAGTAGATGAAGCAATTTTTTTTTTTTTTTTTTTTTTTTTTTATGGGAGATCACAGTTCCAGTGTAAGGCAGCTTTACACGAGCATCAAACTTTTATATGCATACATGCACTGTAGTACTGATGTGCATTGTAAACTGCTCAAAAAAAAAAAAAAAAAAAAAAAAAAAAAAAAAAAAAGATCTGGACCAGGGCATCACTGAGCTCCTGGACAGTCTGAGGTGCAACCTGGCGGTGTCGGATGGACCGAAACATGATATCCCAGAGGTGAGGTGAGCGTGGGAGCCATTCAATGGTATTAACTCCTTCATCCTCCAAGAACTGCCTGCATACTCTCGCCACATGAGGCTGGGCATTGTCATGCACCAGGAGGAACCCAGAACCCACTGCACCAGCGTAGGGTCTGACAATGGGTTTAAGGATTTCATACCGATACCTAATGGCAGTCAAGGTGCCATTGTCTAGCCTGTAGAGGTCTGTTAATCCCTCCCCAGACCATCAATGACTCACTACCCAAACGGTCATGCTGAACAATGTTACAGGCAGCATAAACGTGTTTTCATGGTTTCTCCAGACCCTTTCACGTCTGTCACATGTGCTCACGGTGAACCTACTCTTATTTGTGAAAAGCACAGGGCGCCAGTGGCAGACCTGCCAATTCTGGTGTTCAATGGCAAACGCCAAACAAGCTCTAAAGTCCTGGACAGTGAGCACAGGGCCCACTAGAGGACGTCGGGCCCTCAGGCCACCCTCATGAAGTCTGTTTCCGATTGTTTGGTCAGAGACATTCACACCAGTGGCCTGCTGGAGGTCATTTTGTAGGGCTCTGGCAGTTCTCATCCTGTTCCTCCTTGCACAAAGGAGCAGATACCGGTCCTGCTGGTGGGATAAGGACCTTCTACGGCTAAGTCCAGCTTTCCTAGAGTAACTACCTGTCTCCTGGAATCTCCTCCATGCTCTTGAGACTGTGCTGGGAGACACAGCAAACTTTCTGGCAATGGCATGGACTAAGGTGCCATCCTGGAGGAGTTGGACTGCCTGTGCAACCTCTGTAGGGTCCAGGTATCGCCTCATGCTACCTGTAGTAACACTGACCCTAACCAAATGAAAAACTAGTGAAAAACAGTCAGAAAAGATCAGTAGGGAAAAAAAATGTCAATAGTGTCCACCTGTAAAACCATTTTTTGTGTACCTGTTAATTTCATTAACACCAAAGCAGCTGAAACGGATTAACAACCCCCTCTGCTACTTAACTGACCGGATCAATATCCCAGGAATTTAATTGACTTGATGCTGTACGCTGATTAAAAAGTGTTCCGGTACTTTTTTTGAGCAGTGTATGAAAACGGACATGTATAGAAACTTGCACAACATGCATTTGAGTTTGCACTTTCATACATCGAATATTTAGCTGTTCTTCCCTGAGCATCTGACCCCTAGACTAGTTTCCTCTTGTCAGAGTAAAAAGCCTTTTGTATGTCATGAACATGCAGGAGATTGGTTCAGAGATCATTTGCTAATGCTACTGCTAAGGTGACAAAAAAAAAAAAAAAAAGACAACCAGGGAAGTTGGTACTTAATTCTCTAACATACTAGAAAATATGCTACTTGTATATTGTTTTTTGCTTCTCTTGAACTCATGCACATTTCCTTAGCATATGACATTTGTAAAATTAAATTGAAGTACACATGACATTTTTCTTCAGAGATGCTTAGGATTTCTACAACCACCAAAAAGCACAGAATCTTCATTTTTAAAAGCAGTATTAACCCAAAAAGGAAACACAGTGAGGAAAATTATTTGATCCCCTGAAGGATTTTGTAAGTTTGCCCACTTATGAAGTGTCTATAATTTTTATCATTTATGTATTTTAAATGACAGAGACAGAACATCAATTAAAAGTCCAGAAAAAAAACATGATACAAATGTTAAAAAAAAAAAAAAAAGTTGCAGTTCAGCGAGTAAAATTAGTATTTGATCCCCAAGCAAAACATGACTTAGTACTTGGTGGAGAAACCCTTGTAGCCAAGCAAAGAGGTAAGATGCTTCTTTGTAGTTACCAGGTTTGCACACATCTCAAGAGGGATTTTGGTTCACTCTTTACAGATCTTCTCTGAATCCTTAATGGTTTTTAGGCTGTTGCTTGGCAACTCAGTTTCAGTTCCCTCCATACATTTTCTATAGGATTAAGGTCTGGAGACTGGCTAGGCCACTCAATGACCTTAATGTGCTTCTTCTTGAGCCACTCCTTTGTTGCCTTGGTGGTATGTTTTGGGTCATTGTCATGCTGGAAGACCCATCCAGGAGGCTTCTTCAGTGTTCTGGCTGAGGGAAGAAAGTTCTCACCCAAGATTTTACAATACAGGGCTCCGTCCATTGTCCCCTTAATGCGGCAAAGTCGGCCTGTACCTTTAGCAGAGAAACAGCCTCAAAGCATAAAGTCTCCACATCTGTGTTGACTGTAGGGATGTTGTTCTTAGGGATTATAGTCAGCATTTTTTTTCCTCCAAACACAGCGAGTCGAGTTCTTTCAATGCCTATTGCTACAATCCAGCAGTGTCACTACACAGGCAAGAATTAGAAGGTAGAGTCCTGCTGCTGGATTGAAGGTCCCGCTACCCAATTACAGCAAGACTTCGAGATCTCCCAAAAGAAGGTCCATTGGGTCGCAGTTGGATATACCTACCTTATATGTTACAGGAGAATCCCACTGCTCTGTTATCGAATGATTGAGGTCTTAACTAAAGTTCCAGTAAATTATCTGGCATGTTATAATCTTGAATAATTTACACTTTTCGCCCAAACATGGACTCTTAGCTGTCCCTTTCCTACATTCTTATAGTTTAAATATTTGCATACCTTATTCAAATCCTGTTAAAATTACCTTGCTTAACTCTTCACTTGCTTTGGGCCATCCCATATTCCAGCCATGACTTTCAGCACCTGTTTTTCCTCCTTCCTAGACTTTCCTGTCAAGCACACCTTCCTCATTCATTTAATTCCCAGTATTTTCTTCTATCTGTTCCACTTATCGACTTCAACTATTCACTTTGCAAATCTCCATGTCCCTCCCATTGTTGACTAGTTTTATATTGGATAGGAGGATATTTTGCCAAATAGCATCAGGTAAATAAATAAATATGTGCATTATTTTTGTCTGCATATTTTTTTAGTATGGTGACACTGAACTACTTGTGGGGGATGATGAAGATTTTTTTTTATTTTACACAGATTGCTTTTACACCCATAAAGGCTGTAAAAGCAATAATTTCTCCTCTTTAGCTGCATTCTCGCAGCCATTGAGAACTACTGAGTGAGCTGTGATTGGTCACAGCTTGTCACATGGTACAAGGCTGCTGTGAATAGCCTTGTACCATGTGACCTCTGTGATCATTCACAGATTTCACACGTAGTAAACAAGTGACATCTTGCTTACTGCTCTGCATGTGATCACTGATTGGCCAATCAGTGATCACATGATGGGGACCTCGTACAGATGTTCCATCCGACGTCCGGAGGACACAGCGGGCACCGGATCGTGGTGCTACGCGCTCCCAGGGAGCGCGCACAAGCAGGGTGCGGGGAGGCAGTTTATAAACGGCCACCCGACCCTGCACTAACACTGTCCGGCCGATTACATACAATGGCCGGATGGGAGGCGGTTAAAAAAAAAAACCACAAAACAAAAAGACCACCAAACATCCCTTCGTATCACTAGACCTTTTCTGAATAGCAACAGCTATTGCCCAGATAACCACCTTGCAAATTGCTTGTAAAAGTGTTATTTGAGAATATTCATGACTTTACAGAAAGGTGGTTTAATAACAGAGAAGTCTCTAGGGATGACTGGAGTCAAGATTGTCTTTTTATATAGAAAACTATAGGATTTTGCGCGCAGATGGTAGAACACATCTCCAGATATGTGCCAAGAACTCTGTGTACAGGAAGAGAGCAGTTTACACAGCACATACTTTAGAAAGTAGAACTACCCATCCTCATGTGTGGGG